GATCCAAAAAAAAAAATGACGTGCATCAAGGTCCTATTATGTTTAATGTATGTACTAAATTTGAAAAAAATCCGTCCATGCATAACTGAGATCCGGGTCTGGAATGGTGAAAATGTGCGATTTTGATGCATTTTCGGCTTTAAAATGGCCGCTATTCGGCTATCGTTAATCGGATCATGAAAACAATGCATGTGCATATGTCCCATATAATGTGTGATGTATGAGTGAAGTTTGAACTTAATCGGTCCATGCATGTTCGAGATACATGTGATCACGGACGGACAGACGGACGGACGCACACAGGGCAAAACATAAGTCCCCGTTTTCGGACTGCGTCTGAACTGGGACTAAAAAAAATGGCACTCAAAAAGTTAAGAAACAGATTGAGAATCGGAATTTTTGCTATCAATGTAAATCATTAATCAAATGATCTCTACTGTATCATAGAATGAACTTAGATTACAGTACCTTGGGGCATCTGAGTGGCAAGTGGTGAAGAAATAGTATAGAAATTCAACTCTTGCGATCCATAATGTACAGGCATTTGACGACCTTTACCAACGTCTAAAGTATTGCCATAACACTGATTCATGAACTGGTCCAATTTGAATCCTCTCCACATCAACACACCTTGTAATAAAATATAAATGTTTGTGATTAAAAATGATATAACCATATCACTAATAGTCAATCTTTTTCCTTCATCCATGTTAACAGTCCTACAATTTACAGGATGTACAGTACAGTTCTCGCGAAAGCTTTGGCTTCACTTCAGCGTCAGCTTCGCATCATTATGGCATTGTTATGGCTTCATCATCGCATCAATGTCGCGACATTAAAAAGTTAGGCAATTATCGCTTTGCTTCATTGTGGCCTCATTGTAGCAACAATGTGGCATCAGCATCACTTCATCAAACAAAGAAGTACTGTACTCATTTCCCCCCAAACCTCTTGACCGCTTCTGCTTTTGACCAGTCAATTTTCGTTTTACTACTAAAAATTTTCTGGTTTTCATAGATCACGGTTACTAGTTTAGTAACCGTGCAAAGATGTTGAACAACCGTCAAAAGTTCAAATACTTTTTGTTTCAACTATCTATAATTATATGCACGCAATCTGACCCTTTGACCTGGATTTGGCTGGGATTGAATATTTTATTTTAGACAATATTCCGACGTGACGCACTGCTACAAAATGTATTTCAACAGAAGTACAACATGGTTGTCTGGGTTTCTTTTCCTGATTGTGTTGAGTTTACGATTTGTATAATTATTGTTGTTTCCCCCCAAGCAGAAGACAAGCTAAAGGACCATGAAGCTAAATAGAATTCCCACGCATGGACTGAGTGAAAGAAAATATTTCTAAGACTAAAATAAAAATGACCTAATATTACACCGCTTTGTGTATTTGTCAATTTTGCATATATTTGGTATGACCATATGATCGTAAATACCTAGAAAAATCTTGTCTTTCGTTAATAATTTCATTTGTTTGAAATGTCTACCAACCGTCAGGTTGTCCCAATAATTTGGTCCTGACGTCCGTCATTCAACACAATCAGCATTTATTTATCGTAATTCATGGGGATCATGTCCCGTAATTTGCGGGCTGTACAATCAAATAATTAAACAAGTACTATTTATTGTATTGTTGTTTTACCTCGCGAAACTACAACAGAGCGTAGAGTTACGGTGAAACAGTCGCCGTGAAATCGATGGAACTTCAACTACTAGTATCCATTTCTCACCTTGAAATAAAAAAAAAAAACGAAGAGCATCGGGGGATATATTATTAACTAGTCTTACCAATCGCTAGCTTTATTTTATTCGAATTCATAAAATTTATGAGTTTTCGGCATTTGTTGGCAACTTCCGCGCTAAAATGGTTGAAAATGTGGGTGTGGTTTTCTCGCAAAGTCCTGTTGATAATACGGACAAATATGGTTCTGTGACCCAGGTTGTGCTCCGTTCTGGTGACTCTCAGCCAATCAATGATGTTGTAACAAAACATATTTGACGCAAATTGAAGGGTCGTCGTACCATCCAATCTCCATCGTCAATTCACAAAGTTTTTTTTTTTGTGCTGTGACAGGCTTCACAATTATTCACTGAAAAACATGGGTATGTTTTGACAAACGGATGGGATTTGACCTCAGTTCAAAAAAAGAAAACAGGGCTGAGATACTAATCAGTTTTGCAAGTTGGGAAATAAGGTAAACCAGACTGGGGTCGATGATTTTCAGTATCGAAGGACTTCCGTGTGAATCATGATTTTCAAATTGTTCATCGGCTGGTCACCAAATATTCACGGCTACAACTAAATGGACATGTTTCGAAAATATGTTTGTGAGAATATTTTTAAAGTATGTATAGATCGAGCTTAAATCACTGATCGTGACTTAATTTTGAGAAGTTGTTGTCGAATTTTACCAGACCGACGCCACCACAACCATCTAAATCAAATGTTGGAAATGTACGCACTTGTTTTGAAACTTTGTATCAAGATGACTGGCGACGACGCCGACGCACCAGGCAGCGTACGTGTGTTTTGCATGTTTTAGTGGTCCGGGCATGAGATCGGACTCAGCTAAAACTAAACGAAACACAGAATAATACCACCGAAATGAGGAATCTGAATCTGTTTTCTTAGCAGCAAATAAAATGAGCGAAAAAAGGGTAATTTTATAACAAGAACAGTTTCACTTCATATATAGCCAATTGTGTTGTATCCGAACGACGATTGCATCGTGTGATTTGAATTTATCACGATTTTCCTTGCAGTCAATATGAAACTCGTCACCTTGCCGATTGTAATGTACTTCGCAATATTGTTGGTGCCTAATACTCGCAACACTAAAATAATTAAACAAGATATCTTTTTAAAATGTCATTTTACTTTTGATCATATTATTTTATACGCCTTGAATTTCAAATCGAA